ATCGCTCGTTTTTCCTGACACAAAAATGTGTAAGCGATTACGAGAGTTTCCTGTCCTTGTTTGTTCTGCGGTTGCGTTTCTGCTACGTGAGCGTGTGAGACGGCGGGGTAGCATCATTGTGGGCTGCTTCGCCTCTAGCCTCCCACTCTTTTCAAGTCCCCCTCCCCCACCGCTACCCGCCTTCCCCCGACGGCAGCAGATAGTCATTGTCATCAAATAGGAAAAGTAGCGGGACTTAATTGCAATCTGATGATGTGTCAGCAATGAATTGCGCCGTTTGGGGAGGGATATACCATTACAGGTATAACTGGATTACCAAGGCTGAATGCACTCCTCCAGGCGCAGATTCTAGGCAGAACAAAAGAAAGAGAGGTCCGCATAGGGAAACCGGCTGGTTTAATGTGGCAGTGGGTCTGTAATGTGTGCGTGTGTGTCGGGGGGTTAATCTCCATTCCCTAATGTAGAGAGTACTTTGGCCTTTGGTGATTTTTCAGAGCAATAAAGAAATTAGAGAGAAGGCAGGAGGCATGGAAAAGCAGCAACCTGCTCTGCCACCTCCCCCGGAAGGTTTGCAAGAAACAATGCCTGAGTTTTAGGCTTCATATACAGGAGACTGACTTTCTAGTCCACAGCATCTGCAGTTGGAAACCAAGGAGGCAGGCGAGCCTCCAGGTGTATTTCCGGCTCTAGTTTACACACAATGGATGCACTATAGAGATGAGTTTTGGAGAGTTCGAGTAGAGAGAGGTTCCGGGTAGTCTCTCTCTAATCCCCGGGCGCTGACAGAGGGAGAGGAACGAGACTTCCCTCTTCCCTCGACTCTTGCTCTTCCCAGGAGCGACTAAAAGAGGAAAAGCTCTCTCTAACCCGGATTCCAAGGCTCAAGGCCCTCGGGAAACCCGATGAACTCGAGGGAGGCCATTCTCTGCCCAAGCAGCCATCAGAGGCGCAGAAAGAAAAAGCGGCCAGGTCCACCCACCCTGTTATTGGCTGATTTTGGACGGCTGATGCTAAACCGTGTTTCGAAGAAACATTAAAAAAAAAAAAAAATTAAGTCAAATCTGATAATGTTTGTGCCGGAACGTTAATGTCTCCGCTTTGGCGTGCCAGTCACCTCTAAGCGATCTGACAAACTCCAGCTCTCTTAAAACATGCAGAGTTCAGATCATATTAATTCTCCAAAAATGTTTTGATTCAAAGTAGTATGTATTTTGTGTAGCCACGGGCAATCGGGAAAGCGCTCCTGCCTGCCGGTGGCCGGGTCTGCTCCTTCTCCGCGTGGCCCAGAGGCTATGGCGGTATTTAAGCTTCTGAAATTAGCCTGGGGCTGGAAGGCAGAGTGATCACAAAGCGAAACACGGGCGCTTCCCTTCACTTTTTTTCATTTTTTTCTTTCTTCCTTTTTTTTTTTTTTTTTTTTCTGAGTTTACCATCCTGATTTCACAAAAAAGACCAGGGCCAAAATGTCACTTTCCACCCAAATATGAAAGGCTGGATCTTTTCATCTCACCTCTGTCCTCTTCTGAAGGCCACAACCCCCTGCACACAATCGAGCCCCTACCCCTGCCATTTGAATCTGGATTCATTCATTATGAGCTTCATCATCACCATCATCATCGTCATCAACATTATTCTCGTATTACTAGATACTCACCGAGAAATGAAAGGGATAGTCGTCTGACAAAGGCGATGGGGCCATGAGGGAGCCTCAGAAGATTGATCGGGAAAAGAAGAGTGGGTTTTCCTTTTTTTTTTTTTTTTTTTTTAATGATTAAAAACACAGACGACTCCAGTAAATAGAAGCCTCATTTCAAGAGATACCTTTTGAAACCCGGTATCTGAATATTCAAGGAAGGCGAAGCTCCACTCTGTACGTACAACATTAATATGATCTCTGCAGAATTTGCTACTCAGAAATATTAACATATCAAAGCTGACGCCCGAGGCGAGAGAAGCTATCGATACTCGAGCACAGGGTAAAGTAAAGATTATTGGTTCTGATGGTTGGAGTGGCGGAGCTGCGGGCGAAATCGCGCACACCATTAACCGAGCGTGAGCGCGCGGGGAGCGGCGCCTCCGAGGTGGTGGCAAATATTTTATCTAGGTAGTAATTACCTCGCCGCATTCTACGGCTATTCGGCCTCCATGAAAGGCAAAAACACTACAATTGCCACTTACCAAAGTGAGTCAAGGAAACGACATTTTGTCCGTTGTAAGTAGAAGTGGCCAAATTTAAAGAACAATCCTGACTCCCGTTCCCTACCCCCCACTGAAAACCAGAACGGCCTCTCCCTAGTGAACTAAACTAGGACACTGAGGGATCTTTCTTCAAGAAGAACCTTCGGGGATCTTCGGAAGTGAAATCTGTTTTTGGTTTTTTTCCCCACTGTCAATTCTGGCAATTATTAGAAATGTAAGCTGATCCAGGAGCTTAAAAGGAAAGAGAAAATGGTGAAAAGTTGTGTTTTATAAGAAATTGTGTTTCATGTGGAGAGTCACCTGTAAAACGTGGATTAGAGGAGAAACACATTCCCACCTCTGCTATTACACACTATTGGGTTGTGTGAGGGATGGCGGTACGGAAAAGCACTTGAGTTAATGCCCCCCTTCAGATTTTTGACGAACTAAGGTGACCTGAGCTATTGATATTAAGAATCCTGCTCACTACCGTGTCCCTAGAAAGAAGATGCTTCAAAAAACGAGGACTCCTGAGATGCGGGCTGAGCAGACTAACGGGATATACCCCCGTTTGAATGCAAGATCTCCTTGCAATCTTTGCCATCCATTTGGGAATTGTCACGAACATTAGTCTTTTTCAGAGGAAGCACACACCCTGCTCTTTCGGGCTCAAGCAGGTTAATTAGCCTTTCTCTAAGGCACGTGAAAATGGAATAAACTTTGAGCAGCTAAAGTCCGAATTCCATCTCCGTGGGTGGATTAGGGTCTAGTCAAACAGTACAGACATAAATCCCAAGTTACATCCCCTTTCTCTTGGGAGCCATGCTGTTTTCCTAAAAGATTAATATTTGGTTCAAAATAGCAGATTCGATGATGCTTTTTAGGTGAAACAAATAGGTACCGAATTATACCAGAACAATAAAACATCATCTAAGGAGGACTGTTTCAGTGGCTCTAGTGAGGTGGGGTTGTAGCGCCCACTTGTAGATACTAAGAACACTGGTCTTTCTCAGGAGGATGATGAGGGAGTGTGCCCTAAATCTCTCTCCGGAAATTCAACTGGTTCCACAGCGGTCTCCCCTCCAGCTCCCGCCCTCCACCTCGCATAATTCCTGCCCTCTGTCAGCTATTGTATGAACGGATAGCAATTTGCAAACATTTGAGAAGGTGATCTTCTATTCAGTAGAGAATAGTACGCAAAGACCGCAGTAGCGCGAGCGGGATTGTGGGAGGAGCGGGCTTAGGGCGCTAATTAGTGGCGCTGTCCTTCAGCACCACCAGTATCTTCTCCAAGCGCCCCGAAGGGCTCTGCCTAACCTTTCGTGTTTTCGCTCTTACAGACCCGGATCAGCAAGCCTCACCTGTCCTCTCTTTCACTGCGTGTTTTTCTACTCTTCCCCAACAGTGCGTTAGTTTTATTTCCATTTTCACCAGCCTTGGGCCTATTTCATGTCATTTCAATATGGTTGAGTATTGGCCTGGCAGAAAAGTTTAAAATTGCTGCCTCCTCCTCCTTTTAATAATTGAAGAGTAATACCAGTAGTTTTTGTTTTTTTTTTAATAGTTATCAAATGTCTGTGGGGGAAAACAACAGAACTGAAGAGCTATTTTAAATTTAGCGGAAGTTCCAAATAGCCACTGTGTGAGTAGCCACACTGTTTGTGTTCTTTCCCCCTCAATTCAAACAGAGTTTAATATTGGACATCAGCTTGTGAAATTTGCAGTTTAAGCATGAAAGAGTCCACTGTTTCTACCAATACATTTCTCTCTCTGGAAAAGTATTGGACTCTTTCAAGAAACATTGATAGAGTTGGTGAGGGATAGAAGGACATTTATTTGGTGCCATCAGAGGTGACTCAGTCTTCAGTGGTTTGGGTACTAAAGACAACTGTGGCCCTGGAGCTGGAATTAGGCTTGGTGAATAGGGCATATCTTACTAATTCTTATGAAATTGAGATAACAGCTGGTCCCCTTTGCCTTGTGTGCTCCCTGGGTTATTCAGATTGCTAGGAAAATAAGCTTCAGAGGCTCGGAATACAGTCAAGTGGGAAAGCAAGCAAAATCTTCACAGCCTTGAGGCCCTGAGGATGTCATAGTTCAAAACCCTTTGTCAAAATGGAACATCCGAGATGCAGCCCCCTGCACTGTCTGAGCCGAAATCAACAGCTCTCTCTCCTCTCCTCTTGCCCCCCCCCCTTCCAGTTCCATGGGTAACTCTGGATTCAGATGTTTTCCTCAACAGATGGGAACAAGAAAGCTTTATCTGGTACAGTTAACACCACCTCCTCCTCCTACCCTGCTTTAAAGAAAGAAATGTTCTGGACACTTAGAAAAATAAGGGCAGCTACAATATTGGTGTTTCATTAGCCTCCCCTGAAGTCTCAATGAATCCAGCCTTTCACAGAATTCCCCTAAGCCTCAAGCTAAAACCATCACCTCATACACCCAGGCTGTGGCTGGCACGTTTAGGGCTCAATGAGACCCGAAATTCTGCTCGAGGATGTGGTATTGGAAGAAGGGGGTATGAGAAGTATTTTCTTCTTCTTTTTTTGTCTCTAACTTTGATTCTATCACAGTGCTGTGAGAACGAGCAAACCTTTCCCATCATGAATCTTTTCAGCGCAGGGTGGGTTCAAGCCTCAACAGAGGAAGAGAGGTTTTCTAAATGTGAGTATCACTTGAGGGACAAGAATGTCACAGACCAAGAGTCATTGTTTTCTTAATCATCAGACATGGGATATGATGTTTAAAAGCATCAGCGGATTCTCAAAACTAAGCAACAGATGAAAAAAGAATGTTTAGGGTAATGCATTATTACTTACCTCTTCTTATCACCCCACCTTGGCCATTGAGAACAAGCCCACACTGGGCTTCCACAGAGCCCTTAATAAAAGAAAAAGAAATAAAATCACTCATATAGATACCGCTTGAGTAAAGACTTTGAATCTTCCCCATCCTCGAAACCCATCTCAATAGACATTTAAAAGCAACTGCTGAACAGGAGCAAGGCTGGCAGCAAACACGATTTTAAGGAAAAAAAAGTTTGAGAAAAACCACAACCTAAAAGTTGCATAAGTCTTAAGGTGTGCATTTTACAGCACCATGCAATATTACACTTCAAAGAGCCTGAGTACCTTTCATCTTGGCATAGAGAATGGAGAAGCCTTTGAGTCCCCATCAAGGCACATAGCATATATACAGATAGTATATACTCGGTACTTGCTGTGTGGTGCAAATTACAACTTGAGTGTCATGTTCTGGGAATGTGGGCTTCTTGGGAGCTCAGAGGAGACATTTCATGTACAAGATTCAATATGTCTTATGGAGGTTCTGTTTTACCCCAGATGTAGGAAAACCCTTATAATGCTACCCAGAATGAGTCTTGTAGAGGAAACACCCTCAGGTTCATTCACTGCAGGTCTTCAGGTTCCTAATGGATTGAAGAATCATTTGAATTGGAAAGGAGGAAAAGGTTTGCTGATTTTGAGTACGAAAAATAAAAATTTCTTTTTCTGTCTGTCTTTTTTTTTTTTTTTCTTTTTTGCTAAATGAAAATGTGTTAAAGGCTCATTTTCCTTTACAAACAAACGAGGTATTGGACATGAAAGAGGCCTTGAAGGGTGTTAACCTACCCAACAGCCCGTGAAGAGTTAAGTAAATGCGGAGAGAGTCGGTGCATAATAAAAACCCACTTTACAAAACAACCTTTACAGCCCTGGCTCCCTTTTTGCCTCCCCATTTTCACCATATTGAGGCAGGCCTGTAAGACCCCCCTTTTCAACCTACTCACGAGCTCTTTCTTATTTTAAGTGTTCGGCCTTAAAGTGATTATCAAATCAATATAAAAAAAAAAAAAAAACTTGGAGACTGAGCATAAATTAAAGCGGTGATGGGAAAAGGTGTGACAGTTTCCTTTGTTGGCCATAGCAAATCTTTTTAGGGGACTCAAAGATGGAACTGAAGCCACAAGACTGTTTGCATCTGTTAGGCAGACTTAGACTGCCCTCCAAACCATTGGACTTTCACTTAAAATTCTGTGCAGGGAAAAGTATATTTACATTTGTTGCATTTGAAATGAGGCATATGCTGATGAATGTTTTTAAAAGGAGGAAATAAAAGGAGAGAGACTGGTTTCTCCCACACATCCCCTCCCCATTTTTATTTTTAAAAGTAGCTATAACTCTTTCACTTTCTTTTTCATTCTGCCAATTAAGTCCAAGAAGAGTGGAGGAAAATAATTTCCCTAATTTACAAACATATCTGTGGTTATATTTACAAATATGTATGTGTATATATCCACACTCCAGCTCTTCTAGTATCTTGGAGTAGCCCCCGCAGTATGAGTATTAAACGGAAAAAGGGAGGTTAGGAATATAAAGAGGAGATAGGCTGGAGAACAGGCTTCAATATATCTGAAATGTACAAGGTAAAGCGCCTCAAAGCTTTCCAAGGCAGTAAAATGCTTTCCCTCCCACTCTTTGGCGCACCGTTAAGATGTTTATTTTCTTAGAAGAAACGAATCTGGCTCTTTTCACTTAACAAACTTTTCCTCCCCATCAGTACACCATGTTGTTTGGTTGGATGACATTGCGTAAACGACCAGTTGAATGGCACTAAGTCGAAAATTGGATAAACTATGGTGTCCTTTTGCACGGGATTCGCTCTTTGTCTGGTGCTTGCAAATGTTCTAATCCCCCCTTTTGAAAAATACCCGGCTTTGTGCCTAGCACAGAAAAAAAATTTGTACAGATACAAAAAAATCAGCAGCAGACGTGGCTATAAAAAGGAGTAAATAGGTTTTAGTTGAGCTAAGCATTGAATGGCAGACTTTTTCACCCTTGAGACATAAGGGGATCCTTGAGAAAAATGTAAAAACGCTCTGAGCGTATAAAATTATTTTGTGAATATTAATGTAGAAAGTCAAGGTTTATGGAGCCAAATATTTTTTCTACTGTGCCGATCTTTCAGCTATGGCTCCGTGTTGGGACTCTAAGGGCTTTCACTTTAATTTAAAAGTAATTCCTTGTGCAGAGGTAAATGAGGGAAAAAGATTTTCTGTGCGCAACAAGGGATCTCTTACGTCTCCAACTTGTGCTCTTCGAATATCTCTCCCTTCATCTTCAAGAGTGTGGAGAAGGTAGCCAGCTTTGTGTGGACTGCAAAAGTAGACACTTGCTCAGAGATCTGCACTTTCAGCCAAAAGAACTTAAAACTCTGTCTTCTGGGTTCCTTCTTGGACATTGTGGGCTTATTTGTTTGAAATGAGGCCATGACAATATGCTTGCATAAGTACAGATTCTATTGTTGGCGACGAATGTGCAAAAAATGCGTGTAAGTAGAAAGTAGCAAGAATCATTTGATTGAACGATGGTTTTCACAGTATGAATTTTCTTTCCTTCCTTCCTTCTTTTTTTCTCCCTTCCTTCCCTCCGCTTCTTTTCTCCTTCCTGCCTTCCTTTTCTCCTTTCTCCCTCTCTTTCTCTTTTCTTTCCTTCTCCTCTTTCTTTTCTCATTTCTCTCTTTTTAACTAATTACATATTATGTAAAAGTGGTGCTTGGAGAGGAAAAATGAAGTGGTGAATTATCCAACTGGGCATCAAATTTAGAGGAACGTCAAGCGGAGAAAAATAGGCACAACTTCACACCCTGGTGAAGTGTATTGCGCAGATTCTTTCACTGAGGTTAATTTTTGAGGTTTTCCTTTGTGATCCTTTACTCTCCACAGCAGTTTAGTACATTTGGTGAAAATTTTACTAGAGTTCCGTTATCCTACAATTTTCTAACTCGCATTTCCCCAAGAACAACCCCCCCCCCAATTCATACTAAAATCCTCGTAAACTCAATCTGGGGCACACGCCTGGAACACGCCCGCAGACCCAGCAAAGCGTCGAGACTAAGGGCGCGATTGGTCATCAACTCATCCAGTCTTACTCTGAGTCTAGTTGGCTCAACCCCAGCCTCCATGACCTCCCCACCCCATCCCCTCAGGGACAGAAATGTGGATTCACGAAAGACTTCTGTGCAGACAGACCGAAGGTGGGGGCCGCAGCTAGCCGGACTCCCGCGCATCCAGGTGAAAAGCTTCGATCCAATGAGAGGGGCAGAATGGGCTCACTCCTCCTCTAATTGTTTTGATAACTTTCCATAAGTGAGGAGTGTATGTGTGTGAGAGAGAGAGAGAGAGAGAGAGAGAGAAGGTTTACAGTCAGAAGATTAATGGAGAGGGAGGGGGAGGGCGAAGAGAGGAGGGCGCAGACAAATTCGCTGCATGCTTATTTACCTGCAAGTCCTCGGCTCCCGCGGCGGCCAGCCCCAGGCTGGGCCCTGGCAGGAGTCTTTGATCTGGGTGCATTCCATATTGAGAGCCATGGCTCATGAGGGACAGGTCGTGGCGGCGGTAGGCATCGAGGCAGCCCAGCTCCCGCCTCTGCTCGTCCAGGCAGGACGACTTGAGCGCCCGCGCATTGTGCAGGTTGATAAAGTCGGTGGGCTCCCCGTGGTGGATCTGCTGGTAGTACTGTTGCGAATGGTGGAGCGAGTTCAGAGAGTAGGCGTCGGGGGTGACGGCCGGGTGGCTGTGCTGAAACTCGTAATGGAAGGACTGGTGGTGGAGCGGGGTGTACTGGTGGTTAGTGGAGAAGTAGGGGGACGCAAACTCGGTGCCGGTAGTGGAGTAAGTTAATGGAGAGGAGGAGGAATAGGCGACAGTGGAATTGGCTACGGACTCCAGACAGCCAAGCTGCATCAAACGGTAGCTGTTTGATCCGTCGTGACGTATCTGCAAGGAAGAGGGGGAAAAGGGAGAGCAGAAAAACTTGAGGTTTGTCATTTTGCAACCAAGGCGCGGCTCTCGCCAAGCCACTAGCTTTCTCTCTGACTCTCCAACGAGACCTAGCGCGCAGGGTTCAGGCCGAGCCGAAGCCCCGGCTCAGCGCCTTTGCCAGAGAGCCTTTGCGAGGAGGCGAACTGGGGGTGGGCGGCCGCGTCCTCGCAGTCGAGAGAGAGGGAAAAAAATCCCCCACCCTATATAGGTGCGGGTGACACCACGCACGCACACACACACACACACAGAGCCCCTGCCCAACCTGCGCAAGAAGCTGAGCGTTGGTAGTCAGGTTTGCAACTGCCTGTGGGGCCGCGGGGAGCAGAACGAAAGCGTCCACCTGCACCTAGCGCCGGCCGGCGCCTCACCATTCCCAACCAGATCTCCACACGAAGATCCCGCCACTGTCCGTGCCGAGATGTCTGGCCGGAGCTGCTCAAAAATCACTGCCCATATATACATAAAATACTAGTCTGTACAAATCGCTCAACTTGCTCATTTCCTTAGCCACGTAGGGGAGGGAAGCCGCCCCCCCTTTCTGCTTCCCTTTTCTTGAATAAGCCCATTCCGAAAGGGGTGCGTTGTTCCCCACCCCCCCTTGTCCACCTACCGCCCCCCATCAGTTCCTTTACTTTGCCTTTTTGAGTATCTTTTTCCCCCCGTCTCTATCTCTTTCTCTTCACCCCTCCTCCCTTTCTTTATTATTAGGATTATGTTTTTCCTCCCTCATGATGGCAAATGTTTCTTAGCGTGGCAGAGTTGTCCTTCTGGCGACAGATGTCATAACGAACTTTCTCCCCTTTCCTTCCTTTACTTCCCCCGAAAGCCAGCTTATAATTAAACGTAACGGTCCAATATAGATTAGAGACAGGGGAAGCTGCCACCGCCGCCGCCACCGCCGCCGCCACACACACGCGCGCTCAAAAAAAAAAAAAAAAAAAAAGTAATAATACCTCGGCATCGTGGACTAGTCCCGGAAAGGTAGTTGACATGTTGGGTTTCTCCGAAAGCTTACGATGCAATTTCCCCCTCCAAAAAAAGAATCGTGAAAAAAATCCAAACTTCTTGTATTTTCCAATTTTTTTAAGGAAAAAAAAAATGTTCTATAGATAGAGATCTAAATTGTAATGGCTTTCCCGGGATCAGACAGCTCCTTGCCTCATACCCACTTAAAAACCTGTAGGAACAAAATTTTCCCTCTGCACAAAAGCAGCTCCCTGGAACAGATTTTGTACTTGCTGAGTATTTCTTTGGCTGATGTCGTAGGTCCCTTGGTAATATAGAAGTTTTGAAAATTAAGCATCAGCACTGAGAACTGGGAGGACAATAGGCAGAAGAGATTTATCCCAGGAGACAAGGAATAAATATTGTATCTTCGCCTAATAAGGAACTGGAGGTTCTTTCAACATTTTTATCCATTTTTTCCAACCTTTATCATGCTTTTCTATACCGACTGAGGTGGGGACTCGTCTCTGCGGAGAGCATTTGCACACATTTATTGTGAAGATAGAGATCTAGCCTAGATATGTGTATATTAGAGACAGAAATATATATTAATTAAAGCTTCCTTTTACATGGGTAAGTGTTCCTTCCTATTGGTTACACTCCCTGGATGCTGAAAGCTGCTTTTTCCAACAAGGACCTAAACCATTTTCACCCAGATTGGGGTGTCTGCCTTCACCCAAGTAGAAACAATGTTGCTATTTCCATATTTACATCGAATTTGGCTTCTTTCTCCCTTTCTGAAAGGCAATACCGGGCGGTGGCTTACACTTTTCTTCAGCTTTTGAAATAAATAACTGTGATGGACAGTCCCAAGATTCCATCATAAAGGAATAGTGTAACTGGTAATATATTAAAATTAAAAAAAAAAAAAAACTAGAGAATAAAGATGTGTGACAAGATTCAGCATTTTAGGTAAAACGTTGTCTTCCACTCCCCAATCCAACCCATTTTCTCCCTCTTTTTTGTTTTCCTCCTTCTCTTTTGGAAACAATGTTGGATGGGAGATGTGTGTGCGTAGACCATTTAGCAGCGACTCCAGGTATTTGAACACCATTACCCCCCAGATAGCCCTTCAATGCTTGGAAGTTATATTTTACAAAGAGAGGGCAAGAAGGAGGCAGCACACATTCATCCCCATCTCTTCTGTGAGTTTCTTGACTTTCAAACAATTTTTGAGCTTCTACTTCATTCAAAATTCGGCTTCCCCCATTAAGTAATGTAGTGCCTGGAGGGGGTGGTGGTGGCTACATGATGGCAATACTGAGGCTCTGCGAAGTCCACTCTCCAACCCTGCTCATCGCGTAAAAACTGACTGGCCCCACAAACTCATCTCAGAGATAGAGGGGGTAAATGAGTCTTAATTGCCATTTCATTTGGTTAGCTTTTAAGTGTTTAAGCTGAGAAGGTGTCTTAATAATAAGCCGCAGGCAAACAGGCATGTGGCTTTTTTATTTTTTTTAGGTCGGGGTTTGGGAGGGTTTATTAGGATCTGCTCATGCAGGCTAACTGGGCCTGTCACTCATCGCTCTTTGCTTTATACAAATGGACAAAGGCACACGACAAGAATTGAAATGCATTGTCTGAAATGGAGATCTGTGATGCTCCAGCCCCACACAGGGGTCAGCAGCCAACACTTGCTTCATTTTTCAAGGTGTGCTAGCCTGCTCCCTCCCCAACTTCTTAAAATGCCATATTTTGGTCTAATGAAGTCAGAGGCCAATAAAGGTGAAGAGGAAGAATGTCCAACTTGATCTTTACGTAGGAGGGGTAAGAAGGGTACTGTTGGCACTGAAAGGTTGAATCCCAAAATGCCTGCAGCAAAGTCTTTGTTTGCCAGGCATGAGTGGGGTGTCCATAGCTTACCTACGGAGGAAATAAACAATCAGCCATAGTTACACCATGATCTTACCCCCAAGAATGCCTGTCCTTGCCTAGGTCCAAATCTACCCCCAGGAGAAGAAACCCACCCCTACACAAGAACCTATAGGTTAACTCAGGCATGGCCAGATGTCCTTTTCCTTGTAGGTGACAGCTCCCCAGTAAGTCTAAACCCATATGAAAAATCATGGCCCCTTCTCAGGCACTCCCCTAATACTGTCAGGTACATTTTCCCTGAAGGTAAAGAGACCTTGTCTCTCCTGCGTAGGTCCAGGCAGCAGGCGCAAAAACCCCTCCCTTGGAACAACCAGGAATCTCCGGATGACTGGAGCCTGCTCTTCCTGCTGTGTTGGCCAGTCCGGGAGAAGAGCCACCCTCAGCCTGCACATTCGGAGTATGTAGCCTCTGATACTCTCAGTAATGGGCTCTGGCCTCGAGCTGAATCCATCCCAAGGAATGACCTCCAGTCTCCTCGCCAGTCTGGTACGTCAGGACATCACAGAAGAACTGGCAACTGCACCTCCCCATTCCACCTCCCAGTCCCCACCCCACTTTCCCCTGTGTCTTTTAGCTACCGAGACAAAAGGAATCCAGGGCTTGATTTACTGTGTTTCTCGAACTTTCATGGACTTAGAGGAAACGAAATATCACAGAGAAGGAGAAAAACTTGTATTTGTACTTTAGAGAGATGGAGTGGAAGGATAAGCGCGTCTCTCTTAGCTTAGGGGTCTACCTTGTCAAGACGTCACGTCTCCCTTGGAAAGCCCTTTTCCCATCCCCATGTCTCAGCTTCCCACACCGACGTCTGAACTGAAGGGAGACTCCATTTGGCCAACTGCTTCCTCCCGCCTCTTCTCAACTTAAAAAAAAAAAAAAAAAGCTGTTTCTTTCTCTGAAAGAAAAGTTGGGGAAATCATCCGCGCCATATGCACATACTGGTCAGCGCTCCCTTCCATCTGCTCTGGGGTTGCTCAGCGCGCCCCTTTTCTAAAGAAACGCATCGAGGCAGGTGTGCGGGGTGTTTGTTGTCCGTGTGTGTGTGATATGTGCGCGCGGGATTGTTTCTGTCAGACAGCCCCCCCTTCCTCATCCAATTAATAGTCTTGAGCAATTAATAATTGCCATCCCGCTTGACTCAAAGGCTAGGCTTCGCAGCAAAGTTAATTCCTCTTTCTCTGTTTTGCCCCTTTCCCCGAGAGAGATTGGCCACACATTCTCCAGTGGGCGGCGTAATTGAATTAACTGACCACGGCATGTTGGAGACGCAGTGACAATCGCCCGGGGGCCCCCTCCCTCGGGGACTTGTGGTGCACATCCCAGTCTGAGCCCGAGGCCAGGCCCACGCTGGCTCTCTAAACATAGCGCCTAAACGCAAGGGAGAAACCCTGCCAGCCTGGCACCCGAGAATCTGGGAGAGATTCTCTCCTAGCACCAAACCCTTCCGTTCTTCCTGCTGGGTCCACGCCCCACAGTTCAGGAGAGGCTGTCCTACCGCACTCGCTTTAGAAATTTGCCGGGAAATCTTTATATGTATCATTATTGCTTTGGTTAGGATCCAGCGCTGGAAGGGAGTTTCTGAGGGTTGCAGATCCCTTCCTGAGCTTCTAGGCCGGTCCATCAAAATCATCCCAGCTTTCATCCAATCCCAAACATCTCTACTGAAAGGGCCTGCCACCGTCTGCATGTCTGAGGTTGTAGACAATTAACAGCCAACACATGCCTCCCCCTAGCTTTATTAAATATGTATTTCTTCTGTTCTTTTAGATACTTGAGGTTTCCCTTGCTCCTCCAAATTGATTGTATTTATTTTCTTGTTGCCTTAATAAATGTCTCCCACAAACATCTTCCACTATGTACTTTAAGTGAAGTGGAATAGCTACTGATTGCAATTATTTGGGCAATTACAACCAAAAATATTTCCTTGCACATATTCATACACATGAGTCAATCAGGATATCTTCCTTCCTTTCTTTCTTTCTTTTTTATTCCTTCCTTCCTTCATGGGGAGATGGGATTAAATTCAATAAACTTGTGCCTAAATCTAGCATGTGTGTACATTATCTAACAGTGAAATTAGTGTGTTCTGCTCCAGTAGGGCATGCAGCTCCATAACTCGGCAGAAGTTTGATCATTAGGAGACAATTTCCATGGTCACAAAGACCCTGACTTTGAAAGGGAACTTATATAGGAGAACAGTGGAACACTGAAGGTCCACTATAGCAGATGGAGAAATGTTCTTTCCATAAAGGAAAACAAAAGATATGGATCTGAATATTCCAAGCCCTCCCCCTAACCACTTCCAGCCTCTTTCTTTTTGCTCCTTATTTTGGATAAAGAGCAGATGTGCCTTTAGAGAACCCGGAGTAAGCCGAGGACTTCTCCTGTGTCCTCTACAGTGGTGCTCTTGCCCTCAGGCCTGTTCCTTTAAACACTTTCCCACTCTTTTGCGAATTCCCTGCCTTCTGAGAGCCTCCACCCTGGTTAGGCTTTCAGAAAGGTCCTCGGCACTGGGTTTCCAATAGCCAGCCACAGATGGAGCTCTCAGGGTCATCTCCAAGGGGACCCGAGCTTCACAGTCATTCAGGATTTTCATGAATCGGAAAGGTCTTCCGGTCGAAGGATCCATTGTGTTGTGATTCTCCTAACCTCTGCTAGTTACGGCTAGCGGAGGGGCGCAAACTTTCAGGTGATAGGAAGGCAAACGTGTTGGGTCCACCAGGCTGCATCCCAACCCCCTGGTTCATTCATTTTTCCTCAGCAGGCAAAGTGAAGACAGAAGGGCGCTTCAAGTCTCGGGGAAAATCTGGGCAGGAGCCAGCAATCTAAAACTTGACCCAGTTACATGCACCAGGATATCTGGAGAGAAACGGACTGGCAGCCTGGGTATTCATGCGCAGGCGCGCGAGGTCAGACCAGGCAAAAAAAGAATTGCTAGCCGTTCTTACTGACCTGAAGTGATGCTGACTCCTTTACCTCCTCTAGGCATTATTCCCCCACCCCCATTCCACCTGCGGCAACAGAATGGCCACTTTGCGTACGACGTTACCTAACTGCAATTGAGAAACGACAGCGCTCCCACCTCCCCACCCCGCCCCACCCAGAACTCTCGGATATTTAGGGGAAATTAACATTTCTGACAGACTCTCCCGTCATTTCAGTTTAAGGGTTGTCATTGGTTTTTTAAACTCCTTTTCTTTCTTTCTTTTTTTTTCTTCTTCTTTAAAAAAATAATCTTCTCCTGCACGACCCTACCCCGCCTTCTGGGCTGTTTGTCAAAAGCCTAACGCGGATCTGTATTCCGCTTCAGCCTCGCAGCCGACAGGGAACACGAATTCCATAATCGTACAGAGAAAATGCGTTCGCTAGCAATTAAAAAGCCTTGCGAACGTATTAGTCGAAAATTAAATGGGAGAACTCTCTCCTCTGAAGTCTTTTCTTTGATAACAGTGAAACTTGGAGCTGAGGTCCTAATCTAAGACAGTTGACTCCTCGCCATTCTGCAACAGCTGCCAATTTGAGTCTAGGCAGGGCGCCGACTCGCCCATCCTCTCGGTGAAGCCCGGGGCGCCGAGCCCTAACTCGCCAGCCCCGCCCGGTCGGAGGGCGCTCTCCTCCAAGG